GTGTGTGTGTGTCTCAAGTCTTTGATTGTGTGAGTGTGTATACACAGGTCTCACTGTGGATTACTCTCAATATATCATCCTGTGTGTGTGTGTGTGTGTGTGTGTGTGTGTGTGTGTGTGTGTGTGCGTGTGTATATGTACGTGTGTGTGTGTGTGTGGGTGTGGGTGTGGGTGTGGGTGTGTGTGTGTAGGTGGTTGTGGGTGTGTGTGTGTCCAGTCCATGAGTTTACATTACAAAAAGAAATAACTTTTGGTGAAAAGGTACACTTGGGTGAATAGTTTGCATATTTTCCTCAGTAAAGTTTTACTGCTCTAACTCTGGATCAAGTTTCCCTTTTTTGTTGTTTCACCTTTTTTTCCACTTAGGATCAGAAAAGCAAGAAGTATGTGAGGCTCAGCATCGTCCACTGTCCTCCCGTCACCATGGCAATTATCAAGAGACCAGATCCAAAATTTCAGCTGGGCTTCAGCGTGGAAGATGGCATTGTAAGTCAGCATTCATATTTCACATCTGTCATTATGTGACATACCCCTTCAGCTTGGCGCTGAGCCTGCAGCAACCAGCAATAGAACAACAGTGTTTTTACCAGATAGCTTTAAGAGATTAACGTGTTTGGATTAAAAGGTCGGTAGCACTCGGTACAAGTAAATTATTCTGAACTACAAACATGCAGTTTTCTCTTCTTGGGTTGCAGATTTGCAGTCTGATGCGGGGTGGTATAGCAGAGAGAGGAGGAATCCGCGTCGGGCACCGCATCATTGAAATCAACGGGCAGAGCGTCGTTGCAACGCCCCATGATAAGATCATCCAGATTCTGACAAACGCTGTAGGGGAGGTGAGACGTAATCTAATGCTTACATTCACAATTACATAATCAAGTTCATTACACTTTAAAATGAGACTTCTCTCTGTCTGTGCAGATCCACCTGAAGACGATGCCAGCTTCAACGTATCGACTGTTAACAGGACAAGAGCAGCCAGTGTTTCTCTGAGCACTTCCTGTTTCACCTGGACAAAAATTCTTCAGTATTCAAACTTCATGAGCTTTTGCCAAACTGAAAATATTATGCAAGTGTGTTACAGGCTGTTGTGACACCACTGAAAGCTGCAAACCGGATCAGTTTTGCATGTTTTTAGGACAATAAGAACATCTGAATATGAAAGTGCGATTTTAAAATGACAGGGATAGACAATAGCTCTTCATTTGTATTTATCACATATTTACATTTCAGGCAGTAGCTGAGATGCAGTAATGCTTTTTTTACTTTGCTTACGTACTTAGTGGTGAGCAGCATCAGAAACACTGTACTTCATTAGTCTTCCAGCCTGTCGTATGGCACCAGTGTGCCTGAGGTAAATTTGCTTGAAGAGGGGGACCTCGCTGAATCAGGACAAAGGGTCTGTGGCTGTCATTGTGATGTACTTCCAGCCCCTCACATGCACATACATTAGCTTCTCTGACTGTGTCGAACATGAAGCAGATATGCAACATTAAGAAACTGCCTTATTTGATAGAGAGATTCATATATTTTTAAGATTTTACTGTTCTCGACGTTCATTAAAATGATCTGTAAGAAAATATCTTGATATGCTTTATTGAATCATTGATGGTCAGAAGTTTACATAAACTCATCACAGGTATGAATGTTGTGGTAATTTTGGGCTTTGAATTAATTCTTTGCAGTGTTCTTTTTCCAGAGTAGAATGATTGTACAGCTTATATCGCTAATGACTTATTGAATTTTGAATTTTCTCTGATCCACAAGGGTCAAATATAAACATACCCACTTAAATCTTTTAAGAAGTGCAGTGTAGGGTTCTACAATGTCTAATAAATTGAGAAGGTCAATACCTATTCTTGTTAGAATTGTGATTAAATACAATTTAGAGTTTCTCTTTGCTAGCCTAAGGATTTGTTTGACAATACTCTGGTTTGATCATCAGTTTAAACAATTGTAAGTACAGGTTGTTTGGCTGTATCATGGCTTTGCAGAGGTCTAGAAGAACACCCAAATTGCCACCTTAAGATGAAAGGACACAAAGCCTGCTATGAATTAGAAATGGTTGGAACCCCAGTGTCCACTGTGACATAAGTTTTATATCACCTTGGACAGTTCAAGCTCAACTTAAATTTGAAGTTGCCCACATGGACGAGCCAAGTGCCTTCTGGAGAAAATCTTTAAGGTGAGATGAGACAAAGATTGAGCAGTTTGGAGGAGCAAAGGTGAGGCTTTCAAACCTAAGACTACTACCAGTTGTCAAGCATGGTGGTGGTAACATCATGTTTTGCTGCCAGTGGTACTGGTACATTGCAGAAAGTGGATGGAATAAATTCATCAACTTCAACTCAAATCACCAGCTAGACTCTTGAAACTTGGACACAGCTTGGCGTTCCAGGAGGACAATTATGCTTATAGCCAGGTTATTGCCAGAAAACCAACCGTTTTAAACGACCTCTACCTATTCTGCTAGGAGGAGTGATAAGTATGCCACAAGGTTTTTTTTTTTAATGGCTACCAGAACCGTCTGGTCAAGGTGCCACTGTATATGTACAGACATATGCAGTGGCACAGGCTCCGAACTAAAGAACTCATAATGGACTGCAGGAGGCACAGACAGGGTCACTCCCCTCTAAATATAAGTGGAGATATTTCTCCATCTTCCGATTTTTGGGCATCCACACGTCCGCCAATCGCATCTGGACCCATAACACCAACGCCCTGGTAAAGAAGGCCCAGCAGTAGCTTCACTTCCTCCATGTGAGAAAGAATAACCTGGACCGGAAGCTGCTGCTGGTGGTCTTCTGCCGCTCATCAGTAGAGAGCGTGCTCTCCTACTGGGTGTTTCACCTGTTGCACTCTGGTCGGCATGTCAGGTCAATCAGGTCTCACACCTACAGACTCACAAACAGCTACTGATTCCATATAAAACAAATTGGATGCTTATACACTGATATGCCACTTTAAAAATGTCAGCAGTGCAATGTCTAGTGAAAATGAACTGGTGCCGTTTATGAATTATTAATTGTAATTGTAATTTTTTTAATAGTGTCAGACTAAAGTTATAATGCTTTGTTGCCTGTATTGATAAAAATATCCTTCTTTATGAATTACTTCTTGAACACAAGGGAACGGTTCATATTACTTAAAGCGCTGTGAACCTGTCAGTTCTCTTTTTTCCATGAGCCAATCCATTTTTCTTCAGTTACGAAATTATAACAGTAACCAATCGGATTCCTAACCGGCTTTTACGGCCACGCCCCTTTGAATGTGTTTGACCAATCCGCTTCATGTGTGGGCGGAACTTTACGCTGCTTACAGCTGCTATCGCAAATACTGGGAAGTCAATGTCAAGCTGTCGGCCGCTGGAGAGGAGCTTTAAAATCAGCTTTATTACACAGAGGTAATCATTAACATCTGTTTTACACTGAGATAATCAAATTGGTTTCTTTTCACTGTTTTCGTAAATGAGCTGATGTACACAATAGCAACATCACTGTATAGGATGCTAAGACAAGGAAGCTAATGTTTCTTCAAGCTTTTTTAAGCTATTGCCCTTATATTATAAGTTTACGCTTAACCGCTAAATATTGTTGTTGATAAACTTGTAGTTACAGTGTACTTTTGATTTGATTTTATTTCTTTTACATGTCTACTTTAAGAAAAGAATACCTGATTGAATAACCTAATTTCATTCAAGCAGTGCAAAGTTGTAACTTATGTGGATGCGTAGTTTCTGTGTTATGAGAGCATGAATCGTTACTGTACCTTGTTACATCAACACTGCATTAGTTACCTGCTAATGTTTTCCTCTTCTCAAACAGGAAATAACAAAAAAAAAAGCCGGCTTTAATGGTTATAAAAACTACATCCTACACCTGCACTGACATGCGCAGAGATGCAGACTGTTTTGTAAGGTTTGCAAAGGGAATTAGTCAGAGCAGTTCTAGCTTTACTTAAACAGCTTTATGTTGTTTTCTAAATCTAGAAGAGACCATATTCTGGACGAATGGTTGAACAAAAGTGAATGCCTTAGAGTGAGACAGGTAAGCTGTTTGGATCAGGAGGATTTCAGGATCAAGCATGGGATTGTCTTACTTGAGCAGATCAGAGTGAACAGAGAAGAAAACCTTTACTCTAAACACACATAGTAAGGCTGGTAGGTCTGTAACTTTTTTCTACATAATTTAAGTCCCCACTAGCCTAGACCTATTGCAGCAGAACTAAGGGAGGGTTTATTGTCAACTGATCCTGTACAAACTTTAAGATTGATCAGAAATTACATATTTAAACCTTTTAATCTTAAAAAGGCTTAGGCTCTGTCTCACGTTCTACTTTTAAATGTCCTAGGAACCACAAGTAAGCCATCAGAGTGAAGTGCACCATTTAGGTGATACGGCACTATGAGGTCTTTAAGATAAGATCAGGGCTGATTATTCAATACCTTGTATGGTCTGTCTTCACTAATAACATTTATCATAGTTATAATTTTTTATCATGATAACTATTGATTTATCATCGCCTCGATTTATCGATTTATCATCGCCTCTGTCAGTGCGCCCCAGGGCAGCTGTCGCCACAATGTAGCTTGCCATCACCAGTGTGTGAATGTGTGTGTGAATGGGTGAATGACTGAATGTAGTGTAAAGCGCTTTGGGGTCCTTAGGGACTAAGTAAAGCGCTATACAAATACAGACGATTTACCATAGTTAACATTAATAATGACACTTCTTTTTCCTTTTAAGAATTTTCTATATCACCCAAAAGGGAAAATACAAAAAGGCATGGAAAGTCCTGACACCAGCGGAAATCAGTCATTAGTAATTTGCCACTTAGTGATAATTAATATCAGGGGCTATAATTTGGAAGTGGAAGGTACATAATTTCACCAGAAACAGGGCATGGCCAGGTGCTCCCGCAAAGTTTAGACAAGCCTGTGAAATAAAAGGAGAATACGGTCTGGTCAGGTTACTTAGAACATTCGTGAAGTATTCAGTACTTATTGTACCTGCTGTGTTTTTGATTGTCAATGATTGCAGTATTGGCTCTGTCTGTCTTTTCTCCTTTGCGTACATTTCACAGTTGCCCTGATGAACTTGTCCTCTTCTCCCCACCGTTTTTCCAGGATCACGACATGGTCAGGTAGGAGCGATGGGTTTTTTCAGACAACTGTTCCTCCTGCTCTGGAAGAACATCACGTACCGCAGAAGGAACAAGGTGATCACATCTTCACTACTCAGGATAAAAAGACAGAGATTGTTTGATTCTATAAGGAAACATAATGAACGAGACACAGACTGCACAATACATGAGATCATTCTTCAGTTTTCCTGTGTATACATCACCATCTGAAGTATCACATCACTTATTTGTCAGTTTCCTTGCTGGCCATAATCCTGGCCCGTAAAGGTCACTGATCATTTGACCTACTGTTAACACCTCTTATGCTCTCCTCTTGTGCAGATCCAGCTGATTATCGAGCTCCTCTGGCCGCTCTTCCTCTTCGTCATCCTTATCTCTGTCCGTCATTCGCACCCTCCTTACAAACAGAGCCAATGTGAGTGATGCTGGGATATTTGTGTCTCTTCACAAACACGCTTACACGTCTTAAAAATGGCCTTTTGCCAACTGGTTAAAGAGGATTAACTCACTCAGAGTGATTCTTGTGCCACACACGCACATTTGTGTTCTTGACCTGCTTTGATTAGTTCTCTAGAAACATGTAGTGACATAACTGGTAACCTAGGAAAACACAGCATGCCAGGTCAGAGTGTAATGGGCAGTTAGTCTGTGCATGATAAAGTTACATCTCACTAACTTTGAGTTTAAGAAGATGTAAACTAGACCAAGTTTTACCTGATAGACAGGTGAACTTCAATTTTACTAGAACAATATACAGAGGCATTTATGGTAACTTCGTTCAAAGGATCAATAAACGTTCTGTATCAAACACGAAACCTACACGAAATGTTTCCACCCATGACTCCTTAGCTTGTAGTCTACATTTAGCAGCAATAACTTGAAGTAATCATTTATTAATCTCTCTTAGGGTTGTGGAGAGATTTTGTCACACTCTTCACAGCATTGCTGTTCATCACCTTTAGCGTCAATAAAGGTGGAGAACTGAACAAATCACCACCTATGAAGTTGAAGTTTGTTCAGATGAAACTTTACAAACCTAAGTTGTTTCACCATCTTCTTTTTGTAGAAAAGAGGCTTTCTCCTGGCAACCCGTCCAAAACAAGACAAACTGTTTCAGTCTTTTTTAAATTGCACTAGCATGAACATTAGCATTTAACACGCTAACCGAGACCTGTACAGTATGAGATGTAGCTCTTGGGTTTTTGCAGTTTCTCTGAACATTGCATAGTCAGACCTTCCATTCAATTTTATTTATATAGCACTAAATCACAACAACAGTCACGTCAATGCTCTTTATATTGTAAGGTAGACCCTACAATAATACATACAGAGAAAAACCCAACAATCACATGACCCCCTATGAGAAAGCACTTTGGCAACAGTGGCAAGGAAAAAGTCACTTTTAACAGGAAGAAACAGGTGAATTTGC